TATAACTGTGAAAAAAATAGCTGAAACCATAAGATTCATAAAAATTAAATAAGTAGTTGATACCTATGATTGAAGAAAAAAAACTGTTTTGATTTTAAATGACACATGAGGAGTTGATATACCATAAAACAAGACAACCAACCAACCAAATTGAATCTGACTCAAATGTAGAGCTTCTCTTCTGATATGATGTTTACATTGTGGTAGCTACTCCTAAGATGCAGAATGTTGTAAATATGATATTTGGTGATCTCTCCAAATGTGCAGCAGAGGATATGCATGTATTAAATATTTATAGTCAGTGAATAGCTGATTACCAACATCTTTTTATGATTTTCTGATGTTATAAACTTGTTGGCCTGCCATTGCAATCCATTTAGTTTGATAATTCCTTTACTTTACATTCTTATTATGTCTGACTTTATGAATTGCTTTGATAATGTGAGTACTGTTTTGATTTTACTGCTACATAGATGAACATTTGTCCACTGTCCACAAATCCTCAAGTCCAGTTTGGGATACCTAAAATGGATTTCAATAGAATAGTTTAACCAAAGAAAAGCATAGCCCAGTATTATGAGGTACTGCATCACTGAGAATCTAATACAGCTATACAAGACATTTTGGGATTTACAAATTGATCAGACAACAGGATAAAGAAGAATTCACTATAGGAAAAATCATTATTGATTACCCTTTTGTTGTGTCGGAAACCTACCACCCCTCTTGAAGATGAACTTGTCTGCGTCTGTGAACAAAAACTTTAAATAGTGGCATGTCAGTTGACATGGGGAAGACAGATAGACAGAGAAGTTCTTAGCTGAGCTAGTTATTGACTACTTAGGCGATTTCTGTACCTTTTTACCAACCTATTAAAACCCTTTTTATTGTGTTATTTGGCGTTTGTCTCTACTAACCCTAAATCAACATCATAACACTTTTAGAATGCTGGAATTAATGAATCTTTCAGAGATGTCAGTGTCAATCAGAGCATTAATGGGAACTTAACTAACTTTAATATTCATTATCAGTTTCAAAAGGCAGTTAGAAAATGAAGGTGATATGGTAGCTATTGTTAAAAAGAACAGAGCAGTAGTAAAATAACATGCTTTAGAAGTAGTTTTGGTAGAATGATAGAATTTGGAAAAAATTCCTAACTTTCCACATTTGTAATGCCAAGCATGAAGCCACAAAACTAGCATTTGTGACTTGCTAAAGTATCAGTGAAAACTTTTGTAGAAGATTTAACAGACAACTTGGGGCATCTTGAATAGAATATGAATTCAGAAGAAAACTAGAAGGTAGAATGGCTTGGTGAATTACTAAAAAAATACTTAGAGAAGAAACAACTGTATGAGACTGAAGGTGAGAGAATGTTTTGGGGAAATTTTGTAAATTTTCAATAAGTCTGTTCATTCACTGTTCTCAAGAAGTCTTTCTTAATCAGGTATTCTACAATCTGTTGATAAAGGTGTCCAACATATATTCATGCCACACTTATTCAGCAGTCACTCAGTAGAATTTGCTGTTTTTGTTTTGGGTCCTTACCTTCCTTTAGGTAATGTTTTAGTGATTTCTTGTTAAGTTGTGATTAAATTCTATAAAAATATCTCCTTTTCAATTCTGATATAGTGTGCAGTAAGCCATGAGTCTCTTCAGAGGATGAATGGTCAGTGATAGTTTTGTGTACTGAAGGAGACATATAATTTATAAATAATTTGAATTTGTTTATTTGATGGTTTTTGTTCTCAGTGACTAGTGCTTCCTTGAAGCTCACACAGGTTTTTACCCAATTTGTTAGCTGTATCAGAATCTGGGTTGATATTGAAATTTTCTGCCTGGAGAAACTGTTCTATTTTAAAGTTAAATAAATTCAAATGAAAACATGACAAGTGAATAGAAAATATTACATTTCATTCAGCTTTATACTTGTTATAGTCACAACTGGACCAAAGTTAAAGCAGACATTTTATAACTTAGAGAGCTTTTAGGGTTGGGAACTATAGACATAACTGCTCAACATGAAGAGGATAACTCTCTTTGATTATCACTATACATAATTTTATCTCTTTCATAAAACTAATATTCAGTTTATGCATTTTAGGATTCAGAATTTTGTGAAATTACGTACACATTCACACATGAATAAAGTTTTAAATTCCTAAAAGTAATCAAGCATTTTTGGATTTATATATTCATGTTTTTAAAGCTAGAAACTTGTTTTAGAATTCAACTATATATACATATAATTTTTATGTGTGATGAATAAAATATTACTTTCTAGAATATATTTTTTATTTTGATTTTAGTAAATGTAGATGGTAATGGAAAGACCATATATGTATTATAAATAAAGTGTATCCAAAAGAAAAAAAAATGAAAGTATTTCAAGTTTCCAAGATCAGTATGTTTGGTATGCAAGGAATGTGTTCATGGCTCATCAGGATGCAAATTGAGTCTGAGAGATTCATTAGGTATAAATGAAAATATCAGATCTAGTCATGATTAACTAATTAGGATTTCCTTAAAGAAGCATTCTTCCTTTTCTTGATATCAGATGTGAATATTTTTTATTAGATTAAAAATATTGAGAATTATGAACCATCTCTTTTCATATCAATTATGATTGAGTTCTTAACATTCTGAGAGAGAAGTTAAAAATAGAATGGTCTTCACTGTTTCAATTTCAAGATGTGTTTGGGAACTACTTTGAAAATTTATTGGGAAGTTCCATAAAAAAGTTAAATATTTTTAAAGTACATTGGATTTTATAAATGAGTATAGATTAGATTATGCAGGAAGAAAGTTAATTCATACATAACAATGGTAAAGCAATATTTAGTATAAGAAAAAGTAATTTTAAAATTCTACCTGAGAAATCTTCAGTGTTCTTGGAGAACATTGGTTTTCTGCCTAAAATAAAAAATAAGAATCTATAGCTCTCTACAAACAATGCATTTATGATTATAGAGATTAAAAAAATAACTTACTGGATTTTACAAATAAATGGCTGATCTAAACTGGCAGAATGTGGAAAATAACTTACTTATTAATTCTGTTTTTTGTTCTTTTTTTTCCAAAAATAGCAAATGGAAGACATTTTTTTCTTCAAGTGTCAGTATTATATTTTTCCTGAAAGTTTTAAATTCAAACAGTGATAATTGTTTTAAATGTTACATTGCTTGTAGGTGATATGATGAAATGTTTGGCTTAGATAATTAGGGAAATATGGGAAATAAAATTGAAAATATGAACCAGAAATGATTTTCCTTTTGGATTACATTAAAATGTATCATTTTAAAATATTACATGTGCAGAGAAATCTTTTTTTTGATCTAAGATAGATCAGTTGGATCAAGCACACACACTACTTGCCAAAATCTTAAGGGCAATGAAAATAAAGAAAAAATATATCTTTTGCATTGTTAATGTTCTTCTCAAACATTGAAAAATAAAAATTAAAAACTTTGAATACTGGGAAATTGGGCTAAATACTAGCTGTTCAAAAATTTAAGACCATATTTAGACGAAGCTTTAATTGATAAGCACATAATGAAATTTAGTCATTTCTGTTCAAGCATTAGCGTAGCCAAGGTCTCCCACTGGTATTTCCTTTGTTACATTAGGTAAAAAACATGTCAAAGGCTAAAAAGTTGACAGTTTGATTGTAGCAGAACTGTTGAGCTGCAAAAGCAAAGTCTCTATCAAGATGCCATCTCTGATGAGATTGGATGTAGTAAAACCGCTGTTGCAAATTTCTTAAAAAAACCCTGAGTAATATGGTAGGAGAATTTCAAGTGGTTATCACAAGAAAATTTTGTTGGCATTGAGCTGGAGGATTCAACAGGTTGTCTCACAAGACACCAGCCAGTCATTGAACCAGATTAAGGTCCTTATAGGACATGGGACATAGAAAAGTGGAAAAAGGTTTTGTTCTCCAATGAGAAAAAAAATTAACCTGGATGGTCCAAATGTCTTCTAATTTTAATGGTACAATAAGGATGTTTCACTGGAGAAATTTTCTACACAAAACAGTGGAGGAGGTTTCATCATAATCTGGAGTGCTATATCCTTCCAAGGAACAATGGAGCTTCAGATTATACAGAGGTGTCAAACTGCAGCTGGTTACATTGGCATGTTGGAGAGAGCGTCCTTATTGACTGAAGGCTCTTGATTGTGTGGACATGACTAGATTTTTCATTTTTAGATCTTTTCTCTTATTTCTAGAATAAAAAAGTGATTCTTTGCAACAGGAAATTTGTGATTCACCAGCAGATATTTTATTAAATTTTTTGATTATATTTAAAATTTAGTTTTAATGTTCCTTTATTTCTTTAACAGAAACTTATACATTAATGATATTTTCAGCTGTTTTATTATTATAATTAACATTAAATCAGAAAATATATAGAAAACAAGCAAGAACAATATTTTTAGTATAAGAGATTCAAATTACTATCATTAAGACTAAAGGAAATAGGAAAAAAAAAAGAAAGTTTGCATTAAAAGATCCATGTAAAGTCACTATTTTGTTCACCTTGATCCATATGGACTCATGAAGAGTAATGAGACATGGTGATTCTTTTATCACATATATATATTTACTAATCTCTTTAGTGATGGCCATGCCTGAACCATTTTCACTTGTTTGAACAATTCTTCTTATAAGACTATTGGTATTAAAAAAACAAATAAAAACAACTACAAATAGGACCCATTATTTAAAAAGAAATTATTAAGATGTGTATTTATTACAAACATGATCATTTTGATGTTTTTAGAGAGAAATGTGAATGCTGCTCCTGCTACATGAATGTATGTAGTCATTGTTTTATGCTTTGGACTTTTTGAAATACAGTGTTGATTGTCTTTTTTTATGAATTGCTATTGTAAATATAATTTTTCCTTCAAATTCTCTGATTTTTCTTTCTAGACATACAATGATTATGGGTCAAAATGAAGAACTTACTAAGAAATTACAACTTGTTTCTGAGTGCACAATGTCAGCCAAAGAAAATGCAGATCAACTAGAAAAAATGTTGAAAGCTGAGGAAAAAGAGCAGGAAAGTCTCACTCAGGAACTTCAAGAATTAAGATCCTTGAAGTATCGAAAGGAGCAAGAATTGATAACACTGCAGAATGAATTGAAATTTGTAGAAGCCAAAGTCAAGGTAAATTATATTTGTCTTTTATTTCAAAAGAATTTCTTAAAACTTCTCCAATGTTATAATGACTTGTGCACTCAACAATTAAAGGTAGACATTGCTATATTAAAAATGATGGCCAAAGGAAAAGAAAAGTTAAAATGTGAGATTGTCTCAAAGTACTGACATCAAAATATAAATAGAAAGCAAAAAAGGATTGAAAACGTGTATAATTTTACTGAGTTCCATGTGATTGAATTCACTTTTGCTAATGGATAACCATGTCATTTATGCCTCAACTATAAAGATCATTGTTTCTGGAGTCAATAAAAACTACTATTATCAAAGATCACTTACTACTTCAGTGTTTATGATTTTTACAACCCTTATGCTTCTTAAGGCATCTGAAGCCAATGTTGACCCATATAAATAAAGTGTTCCTTAAGCAAATGATTAGTTAACAGTGTCAGCCTTATGAGTCAATTTTAGATATAAGTAATGATAGAGAAAAAATGCTATTATTTTGGACAACCTTGTAGATTACACAGTCAAGGTGAATACAGTATAAACTTTAAAGAAGACAGTGACAAATTGTGTATATATAATTATTATATATGTGTTCTTTGAGTCACCAGTGATGTAACAAAGGTTGTAATGAACTGTTAATGGCATGGGCTAGACCCTATTTGTCTCCAGTAAACATATTCATTTCCAGTTGATACTGTAACAAAACCCTCCTAGTTACTTGAACCAAAACATGTCTTCCACAACAATTTTGAGTTGACTGATGAAATTGAGCTCTGCTCTATTATATAAATCACACTTCTAAATCAAGTATTGATCTTCAGATGTCAATCCGCTGTTGACTTTTTGCATACCACGGCTGTCAATTGAACAGGAAGAAGAGTAGCAGTGAGAATAATCTTTATTCAATTATCCAAAAATAATAACGCTGTACAAGTTTTCAAGAACAGAAAGCAGAACAAGGACAAAGAGGGATGGGATAAAGGATTACTTAGAGCAGCCAAAAACCGGAAATGATGAAGAACAATGATCACCTACATCCAGAGAGGAGATGACACATTAAAGAAGATTTCCAAGATTAGCTTAAGTAACAGAAGAAATATTCAAAACTATCAAGTCTCTCATATAATCCCATGTTCCAGTCTTACTGGTATGAGACATATTATAGAGCAAGAAAAAAATAGACATCAAGTCATAGGAAAAAATGCTTGTTTTTTTTTTTTCAGTTGCCACTCATTGTTAAAAAAGAAAACAGATTTATCCTTGTCTGTTTTATATGCTTATTGTTGTACAGCAGTTTATTTTTCCATATCATTGGTTTCAAAAATACTTTTATAAATTACAGTGTAACAATTTTGCATGTGTATATATGAAAAGCACTCAATTTGTTTGTTTCTATAGGCAATGTATGTAATTTATTTTCAAATTCAAGTGAGTTTAAAAGTTTAAACTCAGCTGAAGTAGCAAAAAATTACAGACATTTGTATACTTGATGGTTTTGTACTTTCCTATGTTGTGGTTGGCTGCATGTTGGATAAAAATGTCTGCAACAAAATTGTTCAAATGATAATAAGTTGACAACAAACTGAGTACAAAACAACACAAAAGTTTTGATTAAAAATGAAGCCAAATTTTATTTCTGACAACAAAACCAAAACTACATGTAAAAGATATTTATGAGAAAAGGGTAAAGGATTTCATGAATGTGCTGAAAAATCAAATTATGCTTATTGGTCCTTTTGATGGTATAAAGAATGTTTATGCAAATGATTATTCTAAAAGTCCTTGTTATAAAAGGAGTGTAAACAAGTGCATGCAAAAGGGTCCTTGGGAAGTGTTCATGTACTTCATGTAGTTTCTTCAAAGGAAGAAAGAGCGAGTTTGTTTGAAAGAAACTCTGTAATGTTAGTGCCAAAGTAACTTTGATGAAAGTTTGAGTTTGGTATTATCTCTGATGGAAGAAGTTGAGTTGCAGTTGAAAATCTCGTAGACTTTGATGAATGAGTCATGTCATTGAAGGATGAAGAGAGATGATCCTGAACACAAGAGAAATAGTTTGTAACAAAAACTTATTGATATTAGTATCAGTAGAAATAGATTAAAAAATTAGTCCTTGGAGAGGAACAGTAAATCCATTTGTGTAGTCTTGAGATAATGTTGTCAAAGAAGGATAGACCAAAGTTCATTGATAAAGGCATGAAAGAAATCACTTAAAGTCCTTGAATTGTGGAAGGTAAAATATAATTTATTAAAAAAATTAATTCAAAAATATCTGCTTGTTGATTGATGTGACTTGCACCAAGATTGTTGGCTGGAAATCAGTTGAACATGCTGGAAGTGGCAAAGTGCACAAGAAAAAGGTTGATGTCATCAAAGACATTTTGGTGTGTATAGGAAATTAGAATTGTACAGGAGAACAGACAAGTGTAGAAATACTCAAATGCTGTGTTTAACTGCCAAGTAAGATTTGGTGGGAAAAGAAATTGTGCATAGCAGAAATGGCAAAATGCAAAAATGGCAATGAGCCAAAAACTACACCAGAACATAGTGTGTTAGAAAATTAACAAAACAATGTTAATAAATCAACAAGCATTAAGGTAGGGTTGCTCAACAGCCTGGTGGGAACTTAATCAACCACCAAAGCTGGAGCTAAACTAAAGAAAAGTTTAGAAAAATAATTTCTAGTTGAGAAAGTTGGAAAAGCATTTTTCCTAAAAAATAGATGTAAAAATGGGAGAGAGAAAGCAAAGCAAAAAATATAGGAGTATCTTCAATGCTAATTAAAGCAGAAGTCAACTGCTAATTCCTTGAGGTAGCTCCCAACAGAACATTTCATTCTGGAAGAAGAGCTGGTATTTACTCACTTTCCAACAAGGCAGGATGTGGAACAAGGCTGATTTTTATGTGGGGTAATTCCAAGACTGTAGGCTCTGGTACAGATTCCACATAGACCCTGTATACATGGGGGTCAATTTCTCTACCTCTCCAGCAATCTACCCTTTGGCATAATCTTGTCTGGGTTTCTCAAAGCCCAAAGGCAGAGAGTTTGACAAGTAAAGAGCCACTTTCAGAAGAAGCACCAGTATTTACCCACCTCCTCACAAGGCAGGATATGGCACATGGCTGATTTTTATGTCAGGTGGATCACCTGAGATTTACCTTAACCCCCACTGAGTCAGGTTGTGACACAAGGTCGGTTTTTAATGCGGGAACTCAGGCCACTGGTCTAAGCTGGTCATAGCTTGTTATACCACCACTACAGAACAGATGTCATGCAATGGAGGGGAGACAACAAAAAAGAGGAGAGAAGGCCTCTGGTATAGAACAGATACTACAACTGCAGCATCTACTCTAATAGGAAAAAAACCTCCTGTCATTTCGAGAAGAATCTGGGAGAAGAGCCCAGGATTTACCTCAACTTCCCACTGAGCCAGGTTGTGACACAAGGTTAGTTTTTAATGTGGGGATAGATTTTATGTTTCTGACAAGCATCAACTTGTCAGAATTGAGGATTTATCAGTTTTTAACTAATTTCTCTATACAAAGGAGCTAATCCAACAATAGCCATACTTGTGGGTGTGGCACCTACTTACAGAAATGGATTTTTCTAAATGATGTGTGTGATATAATAAATGAAGAAGTATTGAAGCTGTAGAATTTTAACACTATCTGACTGCAGAATGATTGTTGGGTCCAGATAAATGAGACACTGTGTCTCCAAGGTCACAAATAATATAAGTTTTTCTTCAGCAATAGTAAAAAAAAAAAAGTATACCAGTAATATGAAAATTCTAGACAAAATTCTGAAGTATAGGTCTTGTTTGCATCCTTTTATGTTCACTATATTAAATAGCCACCATATTCAGGTAGCAGCCTTTAAATATTTGGCAATTCAGGATTGTCTTGCAACATGTCTCATTCTCATTGGACTGTCTTGTGATTTGTTTCATTCTCAGGGGACATGTCTAATTCTTGCAGGAGCTGTCTTGTGACATATCTAGTTCTGATGGGACTGTCTTGTGACTCGTCTTGTACTCACAGAACTGTCTTTTGACATGTCATTTGTTGGGGATTGTCTGTCACATAGCATTTGTTCTCAGGGGAATATCACTTAAAAAAAAAAAGATATATTCATGTATGAATTCTATATGATAAGGAGGGAAACCAAGATCAAATTCAGTAGAAGACAAAATCAGTCCAATAATTGAAAATTTAATTCTCAGTCAATGTTGAGGTTTAGGTTTCAAAGTTAATCTGTCAAGCAATCCAGTTTTCATTAAAGTTAAATCCTCTGCATACAGAAATGGTTTTATTTTTTTATTTTTACATTATTAAAGTATATACAATATAAATTATAATTTATATGAAATCTTTGAATTATCAAAATTTTTGTGTCTGTTCCATGAAATAATGTTGAGAACCTCCTAAATTAGTTCATTAACATCCATGTGTGTAAAAGAACTTTGGAAAAACAATTATTTGCTGAATAGTTTTAGAAGTTAATATTGATTTTAATTTAAAAAATTATTTCTTTTGGTCTAAATAGAAACTGCTCATTGCACATTTCTTTGTCTGAATTGTTTGCACGTGTACATGTTTTTATCTCTGTCAATGTTGATATGATGTGGGTGATTTTTAATCTGAAGATATCCATTTCCTGTAGGTTTTTGATGTTGCATTTATTTATATTAGCTCTGCAAAACATATACTTCATCAACCCATGTATTGTTCTGAAGGATGTGGATTAAAGGAAATCGTAATCACAAATATCAAAACCAAATATTCATAGTTGTGTATGGTAAATGTTCTCTTTGAAAAAAATCAGTATCATATTTACAACCTAATATCAACAATAAAATTATGAACATTAAAATCTTCAAGAAATAATTAAGAACAGATTTTATAGAGCTTCTTTAATTTATATTTCTTGTTTTTTATTTTTATCTTCTACTTATATTATTTTCTATTTATTTGATAGTTAGAGAAGTGGCTAGAGTAAGTCA